CAAGCAGGCAGGCATGGGGCCCCCAGCTGCAGACACGGGAGTCTCCTCTCATCTGACTGTGATTGGTCCTGAGAACAGCTTGATAAGCCTGAATGTCCCCGGGTCTGAAGGGTTCCCTCTCCCAGCAGCAGCATTCCTATTACCGCTGCACACAGGGACACACCAACTTGGACGGATAAAGACGAGCAGTTGGTCTGTGAATATAAACTAGAGCAGGTGTCCCCAAACTTTTTACACAGGGGCCAGTTCACTGTCCCTCAGACTGTTGGAGGGCCGCCACATACTGTGCTCCTCTCACTGACCACCAGTGAAAGAGGTGCCCCTTCCTGAAGGGCAGCGGTGGGTTGGGGGCCGGATAAATGGCTTCAGGGGGCCACATGCGGCCCGTGGGCCGTAGTTTGGGGACGCCTGAACTAGAGAAACCAGCAACTGGGCTTCATCCCACCATTCACCGGAAGAGTCATCAGCTTCCTGACAGGTGTCCTCAGAGGCTGGGGCCCCTGGAGCCAGCGTCCTGTCTCCCAGGCCAGGCCTGGCAGTGTCTGCCTTCCAGCATACCCTGACCAGCTTCACACTCTCTCCCACGGCTGCAGTCCCAAGCATCGTAAGGTCCCCCAGTGTGGACCCCGCTTTGAGACACCAGGAGAGATAGCCAATCTTCACTTCCCAGTTACTATGGAGCAGTGTTCCTTGCCAGAAAGAAAACACTGCCTGAGCTCCATCTACATGCTGGGTGGTTTTCAAAATACTTAGCGGGCATTTCACCCCCAAAAAACCCTGGATTCGAGTGGAAATCCTTAAATAAATTGATTTGAGTTCACGTCCCTTTGTTCCCCATTCATGAAGGAAGTGCAGTTAGGTTATGGAGGCCAGTTCAAATCAGAAAAGGAAAGAGGGCATGGAGAGACCTGGCGATCCTGGAGGAGGGCCGTTCACGCCTGGGCTGGTTCCCCCGGGCAGCGGTGGGCAGATTTCTCAGCTGACCGCCTCGTCGTCGGTGGGCCTGAGTCGGCCTTTAGGGCACCAGACATCCCTATTACTGCCGCACGCAAGGGGTTCATTCAGAAAAACCAGCGCTAACTCGGAGGGCTAAAGACGAGCAGCTGGTCTGTGACTATAAACTGGAAGAACCAACAGCTGGGCGTCACCACGGGAAACCGGCCGCTACACGGGCCTCCCGGGGTCGCCGCCCACCCGCCGGGCCCAGCTCCTACTGCTGGGCAGCCTTCAGCCAGGTCCCTGCATTTCACCCAAGTTGCTGCACACACCGTTCCTGTAGTGCTAAGATTTAGGACAGAAACAGGTTCCCCTGCTGCAGATCTTAATGCATGCCTGTCCCTCCGTGGGTAAAAGAGTCGAGCTGCAGGGCACTGGGAGAGCGGGTGGGGGAAGTGGGTCCCACCCAGGTCTTCCTAAGTCCGGGTGTGTGCTGAGTCCGTGCGGTCAATTCCCGGCATGTTCGCACCGAACCAAGGAGGCTCCTACTAACGCCCAGAGCACAGCTGTGTGCTCAGCCGTCATTTCTGTCTGTGTAGCGAGTCCAGGCAAGGCCAGGGGACTTTTCTGCTGCTCTTCAGGGGTCCGAGGCACAGCATGCAGTGTCACTGCTGTGATGCCATTCTTCACATCCGAGGCTCTGTGTTCCTGCTGCCCTTGCTACAGGTGTGGAAAAGACAATCCTTCTCTTTTTCCTTTTTTCTCTTTTTTTTGGACAGGGTCTCACTCTGTCACCCAGGCTGGAGAGCAGTAGCACGATCTTGGCTTACTGCAGCCTCCGCCTCCTGGGCTCAACAACCCTCCCACTGCAGCCTCCTGAGTAGCTGGAACTACAGATGTGTACCACCACACCCAGCTAATTTTCGTATTTTTGATAGAGGTGGTAGAGATGGGGTTTTGTCTTGTTGCCCAGGCCACCTCAAACTCCTGAGGTCAAGCAATTTGCCTGCCTCTGCCTCCCAAAGTGCTAGGATTACAGGTATGTGCCACTATGCCTGGCCTTAAATATTTTAAGAGATTCAAAGTCTCACTATGTTGCCCAGGCTGGTCTTGAACTCCTGAGCTCAAGTGATCTGCCCACTTCGGCTTCCCAAAGTGCAGGGACTACAGGCAGGCGCCACCACGCCCGGCCTTCTCTTCTTTCCTATCCTGAGGGTAAACCCTTTCCAGGGGTCACTTTTACACCTTCAGAGTAACAAGACTGCTCAGCAGCTTCCCTGCGTGTGAGGCCTGGACACTGTGCTGGAAAGAGAAGTCACCGGGGCCCACCGCGGGGCACTGACCTGGCCGAGAAGGGCCTGGCACTGGATTTTGGCTCTTTCTCTTGAGCATTTGTCTGAAAGAAAAGCAGGTTTTCTACATGTCCCTGAAGTTCCCTTCTGGCTCTGAAGTATTTTTCTTTCTTTTTAAAGTTTAGGGACGAGCTTCCTCTCATGTGTCCCCACGACAGGTGATATTATTTTCTTTATCCGTGGAGTGATCTCATCATGCGTGAGCACTCAGCCCAGCCCGAGCCGCCGACCTGACTCTGTTAGCGAGTCTCCCTTCAGAACGCTTTTGCAGACCTTTGCTGGATGCCTCTTAGCGCCTTGGCACCCTGGCTGAAGTTGCACCATTAGTGACTTTTTGAGGGGATGGGGCAGGGGCAGTCTCTAGGAGAGAAGGAAACAAGATCATGCTTTGTTCTTTCCTTTGACTGTCAAAGCAGAAAGCAAGCTAGGGAAAGGAGCTCCAGCCCTGAAAATGAGCCCACCCACCCAGAGGCCTCCTCTCCCTGAGGGTCTTCACACCCACCCAGAGGCCTCCTCTTCCTGAGTGGGCTTCATGCCTAGGCACATGTTTCTGGGGACTCACAGTATGTCCCAGGGATGTGGCTGTGGACAGTTCTACAAAATTAGGCCTTCCTCTTCCACAGCCCCTCATCCTCCAGAATCTCATGGGCCGAGAGAGCAGCTGTGACCTGCCAATCCTTCCCTGGCATTTCTCTGTCTCCCTCCTCTGCCTTACAAAGGACTGGTGTGCTGCACGGACCTGCAATGGGTGGCCCCAGGACTCAGGAGTTCCCAGGCTCCCACAAGGGGCCATTGGTGACCACTTGGGCCTAAGGGGGTCCCCCAGGACAGAGCAGAGCTGAGGAAGTAATATCCACCCACCCATCACTCCCAGAACAAAATTAGAGATGAAAGGTTGTCATGGGACCCATGTCAAGACTTTTATTTGGATTTAAAATGACACTGACTTCAGTCAGAACAGCTGACCTGGTCTAGCAGATCAACTAGGTAACAAACGCTGGTTTGTCTTTGAGCTTGACATTTCTCATAAATTCTCGAAAGTAAACATCCTGACCTAAGGTTTTTGATAGAAATATGTTGAAGGCTAACCTGCCGAAGAATAGAGTAAAATATGCATATATATGTTGAAAGCACTCTGCGAGACGGGGGCCCTGGGCACGTGCTTGGGAAGAGTCCAGCGTGATGCTCCAGAGGCAGAGTCACCTCGCCCGTGTTCTGCTGCCTCCTTGACGCCGAGTGTTCTGAAGGCATTTGGATGCTTGCAATTTCACAGAAGCTTGTGGAGAAGGGTTCTCAAATGATACATCCGTTCATGATTTAGTTGCTTTACAAATTGGGTTGTTTTTGCTTTGGGTATTTTTATCTTGAAGTTGTAACATATTTTTTTTTCATCTCACTAAAAGCAGCACCTAAGGCCCAGTCCCACTAACCCATCACTTTACTCTCATCCTTCCAACGTCTCAGTAGAGAGGAGCCTCCGCCTCTGTTCCGCCGATGTCAGTGGGGTTTCTGGGGTGCTCTTGGGCCTCAGCCTCTGGCTGATCGCACCCCTTCTGCCCCTCTGTCGGCAGTGCTTGAAAACAGCATCTACTCGCTGGAAGCCTCCTCGGAGGCTGGGGCCGGATGTGTTTTCCATGTGTTTTGAGTGAAGGTCCATTGTGGGGCCATATGACCAATGAGAACAGCAATCTCAAATCCTGAGTGTTTTAGGGTAATTGGGTTCGCAAATCTCCTGCTCTCCTTCTGTGTATGCCCAATTGTGTGAGGTCGAGTGATCACAATAGAAAGGAATCTTTATCTGTTTGGCATTGGCAGAAGAGTGTTGCCAGTAACCAGACACAGCTGGCCAGGGAAACAGGTGTCCAAATGCCCTTTGTCACTACAGGCACCAGGGCCCTCTGCTCAGCTATGCCAAGACTGGTCCATGTGGCCCCATGGACCTCAGCAGGGCGGCAGTCACGCACCAGGGTCACTCAGATAGTCAGGTGCACACCTGGCCAAGGTCGTCATTCTGGCAGAGTTTACAAATTGGGAATTCTGTTAATTAATACATGTTTTTTAATCACTAAATGTCAAATATTCCGAGAGACCTTTCGTGGCCACCTCCCTCCAGCCAGCTCCCACGTCCCTCTCTCCCACGTCCCGCAGCGTCCTGTTGGCGGATGGGGAGAGGTCAGCCTCGGCAGTTCCCAGACCACACTTGCGTCACACGTCTGCTGTCCATTTTCCTACCCAGAACCTAAGCTGAGTGAGGGCAGGGATGACCCAGCCACAGAGGTGCCTGCAGAGCCTGGCTCCAAGCCTGGGGTGTTTGCAGCATGACTGATGCAGAGAGCACTTGAGAGAAAGAATACAAGCAGGAGAAAACAGACGGGCCAGGCTCAGCAAAGCAGCACCTAGGACCACACGGCTTCTGCCTCCGGTCCCAGGGACACACCTGAGACCCAGGGTAACTGGCCCGGGAGTGTGACGCTCCCTGCCCGGGTCTCTCAGTTGATTGTTTCTTTTTGTGGGGGCCTTAGGCAGGGAAGGGGCAGTGGCAGGGAACAGAAAGACACAGAGGTTGTGATTATTTTTTTCTTTCTAATTCAAGGGTATATTTTCTGAGCAAATTCAATTACAAATATAAAAGGAACAAAGACAACTCCCAAAACTTTAACTCTGACATTTTTGTATATAATAGTTTTAACATACTAATATTCATTATTACAGGTATAGAAAACGATGAAGAAATCAAACAATTAGATGAAGAAATCAAGGAGCTCAATGAATCCAATTCCCAGATGGAAGCTGATATGATTAAACTCAGAACTCAGGTAACAGTTTTTGAAGCCCTCAATTTTAGCTCTAGCACGCGCTATTACAGGGCGTGAAATCGGCTTTGGGGAGAGCGGCCGCTGCGTCTTCTTGGCTCTTTTATTTCCTTCGTTTTTCCACCTAATGATCTTGCTCTTCCGTGGACGTCATTCCGTGGCAGTGCTCGCTGTAACAGGGGCCATGGTCCACTAGCTTTCAGTCTGCCTGTGTGTTTGTGTTTTTAATAAAGTGCATTTGTGAATAGGAATTTTCATAGGATCACCTGTTCCTGCAAACAATGAAGGTTTTCCTTCCAAGATACTTCAGGTCCTCGTGTTATTTAGTCTCTGTCTTACATGTATAGTGACAGCCTATGTTCCTGTGTTCCCAGAGTTTAAAACAAGCAGTGCCTGCCACTTAGGACTCCTGGGTGCCTGGGGTTTGAGGAAGCGGCCCCAGTGACTTGTGGCTGTCCACAAGGGATAGATGGCAGCTCTCACACCAGCTGCGGGTGAAGCACTGGCCGCGGGGGCTCGGCTTAGAGGTGCGGCCTGGATCCAAGCCCTGGAGAACAGATGCGTGTTTTCTTGTCCACTCGGACCCAAGAGAAAGGCAGACTTCTCCCAGTGCCCCATGACACGTTCAAGTCACACTGACCCAGGATTGCAGGGCTGCGCACGGAGCCCACACCAGAGATGACGCGGGGCCGCAGGCCTGTCCCGAGACCCAGCCTTGAGATGACTGATAAGTGTGTGTCCACGCCCCGACGTTCTTCCTGGAATGGGAGCGGAGGGAGGGATGTCCCCGTCAGTGCTCAGGCCTGCGGCCCCGTGATGAGGGTCCCACACAGGGAGGGGTCCAGACTTAAATCCAGTAAAGAACAGATCCAAGAGAAGGAAAAAGGAAACTCCGTCCACGCCTTTAAACTTCACACCTGTGCAGATGGGGGAGCCCACCCCTGCCACTCTCTGCGAAACAGGCTGTGTGTCTCAAGCCCAGGAGTGCTCTTCTTAAAACTTTGAAAGGGGCTTTCCACTGTTCAGTTGTAAGAATTCAGATTATGACAAACGCAATGTTATTTAATTGAGAAGAGGAGTTTTCCAATTTGGAATGTGTTCAAACACTATTTGGTCCAATTAGTGCAAGCGGCACAATTCCTCTGTGGCTGAAAGATCCAGACACCATTACGCTTGGCAGCTTGAAAAGAGGGAGCCTGCCTCAGGCTCTGCGCCTCATGCAGACGCAATCAGAAGTCCCAACGCCCAGTCACAACCGAGTCTAACCCAAGCTTCCTCCCGGGGCAGCCCAGAACCAGCAGAACAGCTGGCCCAGGTGCCTGTGGGCTCTGTTGCTTCCCCAGCCCCCTCAGAGGGATTCAGTGCGGCCTCAGCTTCAGCGGTGGAGGCACCCAGGCCGGGCACACCCAAGCCTTGGTTCTGGACTCCAAGATTACCCGGACAGGTCTCATCCGATTCAACTCAGTTCACACCAGAGCCTGCAGCAGAGACGAGAAAAGCTCGCACCCTGCCCCAGGGGACAGCCAGAAGTCGCTTGTTATCAAAATCTGGAAAAGAAGAAGACAGCCAGCCACAGAGAAAGAGAGAGCAGGGGGTTCAAGTGCAGAGGAGCACTCGCTCCTAGCACAGGAAACGGCAGGAGCAGGAGGGTGGCTGGGAGCAGGCTGGAGGCTGGAAGGCTGCTCCCCCGCGGCCCAGGGTCAGGCTCCACACAGGGACTTGTCAGGGAGGTGGGGGCGGGGGCATCTGAGTACGAAAGCCAGGCTGTTCATGAGAAACCCCAGCTCCTGGTGCAAGGCCCGGACAGACCAGCATGAACAGCCCCGTGCAGCTTGACTGCTTCTAAGATTGGCAGGTTGGTTAATCCCACAGCCTGCAGCCCTCATCGGGTGGTGGCTCCTGTCCCTGGGCTCAGCCTCTCTGCCACTCAGCCTCCCTGGAGCACCTGCCTCCTCCCTCGGCCCTCCCACTCGAGGACGCTTACCTTGGGGTTGCGCCCTTCCACCGCCCCACTGCTGATGTCTCAGGATTCCCACCCTTTACACTTCTTCCGGAAATGTTTTCTAAACGCAGCAGGCCATCCAGGTGCTTGGTCTACGCCCGGGGTTGGCAGACATTTTCCATAAGGGACCAGATGGCACCCACTTTTGGCTTCTGCAGCCCGCAGCTGTGTTGCTGCACGACAGCCTCCCGACACGTGTGCCTGAGGCCCCGCTTCACCCGGCGGCCGTGGCGCTGCCATCGGAACTTAACGTGGCTCCTGTATGTTACAACATGCTGCTGTTCTCTTCTTTCCTGACCACGAAGAAACTCAAACGCAAACGCCGTTCTGAGCTGTCTTAGCTTTCAGTGTCAGGCCCCGGGCTAGGGCTGACCTTTCTCTGCTCCAGGTGTGGTCACGGATGCGGCCTAAGAGACGTGAGGCCCGGAAGGACGGAAGGTGCTGATGAGTCTGTAAAAATGCGGGTTTGGGCCCAGACTGGCCATCAGCCTGCTGCTGACACGGGAACCTTCTTGGGAAGTCCGAGACTGCACTGCTTCCTAGCAGCCTGAAAAACCTTCTGTGCTTCTGAAACAATCAAAGACAGAGCCCACCTTCGCCTGGAGCTCCTCCCTTTACCAGCGACCCAATTTCCCAGAAACACAGACTCAGACGTGCCCATGCACATCACCCAAGATGGCAGAGGCAACCGGCCCAGCTGCCAGCCAGGCCCCCAGACCCACTCTCGAAGCAGCCCCACCCCGTGGAAGCACCTGTGATCAGGGATGCCTTCCGAGTGCGAGGAACCACGTACCATGGCTGCTAGAGGCTGGGTTTGGAGGAAGACACCTGCCTCTGTGCCCCTCCCCAGCCTGCTCAGCCCCATCTCAGCCTGGCATCAAAGGAGGACTGGCATCAGAAGGGCTGGGCATAGGCTGGCGCCGGAGGGGCAGTGCAGAGGCCGGCATCAGAGGGTCGGGGCGGCACCCCTGCCTCGCCTTTCTCAGCAGCACTGTCTCTCACGACTGCCACAGCGTGCTGGCCAACTCCACAGCTGCTGAGAGGCCTTCCCTTTACTCCGCGCCCCTAAGAGCGGGTCAGAGGCCCCAGGAACAACAAATGTCTTCTCACTGCAAACAGGCTGCACATCGGCCTGAGTTCATGTAGTGGGCTGGGAGGGATTCCCATTTTCCAGAAAAAGAGCCCAGCATTTGCCTGGCTAGCAAGTAAGGAAGGGGCAGCCGCACCCCTGAGACACTCAGCCTCTAGCCATCCTGGAGCAAGGTCTCAGGCAAGCGAACGTGTGTCCGTGTGTAAGAAGCCTGGGGCCCCACACGTGTGGGCTGGGGTGCAGGAGATCCAGGGGCCACGGGGTGCGCTTGCAGAAGGTGAGGCTGTGGGACCTGGCAGATAGCCGTTGGTTCTGATTTCGGGTCTCCAGACATCCCCTCTGACCCTGGCCGAGGCTCGCCATGCTGCCTGGTTCAGGGGATGATCACTTTCCAGAGCCACAGAGGTGCGACACAGGTGCCCTGGTAGCCAGGGCTTTCATGGGACATTCGTTCAAGCTACGTATTTCCGTTCCACTGCTGAGCGGGTCGACACAGTGGTATTTGTTCCCCTCTGAGAAAAGCAAAGCATACATTATAAGCACGGGACCCTGGTAGATGGGAGGGGACAGCCTAACTCCTGGGTCCCACAGAGATTCCTGAGCACAGGAAGACATGCCAGCCTCTGCAGGAGGGTCTGGGTTTCTCAGCGGAGAACACAGGTTGAAGGAGGAATGATCTAACGTGTGTCCCCACGAATCTTGCTGCAGCCGGAAGACGGGAGCATCCCCTGCCTTGGGCATCCCACAGGCTGCTTCTCCGCTCCACCGGGGCAGAGATGGGGTCGGAGGCCCTGGGAATAACAAATGTCTTCTCACTGCAAACACACCACACATCTCAGTGTGAGTTCATGTTGTGGGCCGGGAGCATTATTCCCATTTTCCAGAAAAAGAGTCCACAGTTTGCCTGGCTTGGATAGTAGGGAGGGGCAGCCAGACCCCTGAGACACTCAATGACGGGCAAGCCAGGCTGAGCTCATCCAGAAGGGCCTGCTGAGGGCCAGCGATGGGGAGGCCTCTGTAGGGTTCCCTGAGCACAGACAGGAGGGGCTGAGGGGCCTAAAAGAGCCACCATCTAGCAAAGCCACCAAGTACAAAGGACAGGAGCCACCCTGTGCTCAGGGAAAATACAAAGGTGCCCATCCTGCTGCTAGGCTTCCTCATGTGTATACCCTAAAACCTCAGCCCTGGGCAATGGGCCTTGCTCTGGATTAGATTCCAACACAGAAAGCCCACTGACGTCCCCTCTAGTGAGGTCCCAGCCACAGCTGCCACCAGCCATGAGTGCAGGCACCTGGCTACCCAGGAAGGGCTACAGAATGCTCTGGAAGACAAGCACTGGGCACACTGCCCCTCGGGGCCCACCCAGGAGTCGTGGGAGGGTAGGTGTCCACTCCTGAGCCTGCAAGGGGTGGCTGGGAGGGAATATTAATTTGAAAAATAATCCCAAGGAACACAAATGACAAAGTCACCCAGCACATGCATTGGAAATAAAACTGTGTGATTTTGGCGGGCTCTCCCTAGGGCACTGTCCCTACAGGAATGGGGAGGGGGGCTTCGATTAAGGAGAAGGCCCACCCTCCCCACTTCATCCTGGAGGGCGTCTCGGAGGGGCTCCAGTTTTCTAACAGAGAGTCTGGGCCTGAAGCTGGTGGCTGAGAGAACCCGGGATTTGAACCAATACAGTCAAGGGATGTCCAGAACATGGGAGGAGGCAGGACTGAGTTGGGGGGTAGAGGGCAGGTCAGGAAGCCAGCACTGGACTCTGTGGGTCGGGTTGGTCTTCCAGGGAGAGGCCCCAGAGCACGCACGGCAGAGGCCCCCTGGGTGCCCAAGGCAGACACCCCCATAGACAGGGCAGCTCCCTGCCTGCTGCGTGTGACGCTGGTCCTGTATGGTTATAGGCAGAGGCCCCGAACTCAAACCCCTTGAGTTAAATTAAATTATCTCTGGAATGTGTGAGGAAGGGTCCATGGTGGGGCTTTATCCTTATAGAAATGCAGGAAGAGCACCCCTGTGGGCACAGGGCCTGCCTGGTGCCATCTGAAGAGATACTGACACCCCCACAAGGAAGTGAACATTGGAGGGTGTGGCTGTGGCGCATTTGATTCGGGCTAGAAAGGACAAGGACTCGCATCACGTCCCCTCAGCTGGCCCGATGGGACTCAACACTGCAGTCCCATCGGGGCCAGCTGAGGGGACAGGATCGCGAGAGGGAGCAGTCTCCGCTCCCCAGCTGTCAAGTGCTATGAATCCAAAGCATAGGAGGCAGGCCCTTCAACCACAGGCTCTCACGGCCGGAGCCTTTCTCTTTTCACGAGAGGCTCCTCCTTCACGCGCAGTGGATGGCGGCCCCGGCGGTGACCGTGGGCTCCTGGGGCCGCCTGGTGTTACATGTCACACGCACTTGTGCGTTTCAGATTACCACGATGGAGAGCAACCTGAAGACCATCGAAGAGGAGAACAAGGTGATTGAGCAGCAGAACGAGTCTCTCCTCCACGAGCTGGCGAACCTGAGCCAGTCCCTGATCCACAGCCTGGCCAACATCCAGCTGCCGCACATGGTAAGTGACTGAGCTTGCAAGGCAGCACTGTGGAGCCCTCCACGTGCACAGCCTAAACTAGATGCCTTTTTTATTATTATTTTCACGGTTCTTCAACCTTTGGCAAACATTTGCGGTTACCACCCCGAAACCATACTGTTAACGGCCAGAAACGTTGGCGGGGCTGATCCCATAAACTTAAGTGTGCTCTGAGCCGGCCTTTGAAATAGTATAAAACCAGGGGCACGATGCTATGATACTATTTTATGCTTTTGTAAATTTACTATTAAGAAAATAAAAGTTGTATATGAACTACTATTTAATATCTCGTAGGATCCAATCAATGAACAAAATTTTGATGCTTACGTGACTACTTTGACGGAAATGTATACAAATCAAGATCGTTATCAGAGTCCAGAAAATAAAGCCCTACTGGAAAATATAAAGCAGGCTGTGAGAGGAATTCAGGTCTGAACAGCTGCTGTAGTGATGAAACTCTTGCTTAAAAAGGATGCCTCTTGTTTTTTGCTGCTGTAACTTACCAGAAAGTGTTCTATATTGATTTCTGTTTGAAACAGTGTTATGCTTACAAGACTTCATAATGATTTTATGTCTTGCTTTAAAAATAGTACCTGCAGAATAGTTTTTGAATACACCCACATTTTGTACGTTCCCATGTAAGCTGACAGTGTTCTGCCATGTAATGTTTATAGCTGCTGATGTATGCACATTTGGGGGTATATCTATTTCTGAAGAGGTAAGCTGATCAAAATAAATAGAGTGTAAATTCTTTTTAATGCTTTAGTGATACATGTTTTAGTATTTTGGACTGAAATGGACACACACACACACTCACACACACACACACACTCGCACACACTCACACACACACACACACACACACACACACACACAGCTTTGAATGATCATGTGGCCAGCAGCCACTTTTTAGACATCATCATTTTGCCTCATGTCGGAGGACTTTACGGAATTTAAGAAATACATTTTGTGTGCATATTGTTTCATAGCAAGAATTGGTTGCAAAAATGCTTTATTTTTGAACAATGCTTGGAAATATTATGTGACTTTTTTGTTTGTTTGTTTTAGGAGGATGGTGTATGGTGGGGGCAATAAATGAGTTTTTTTGCATTCCAAGGAAATGGCATATGGATTAACTGTAAGAAATGAAATAAGTAATTTATTGTAAGACAACATCAAGCCATGGAAACTTGGCAGAAGATGCAAGGCAGCTTACACAGCACTTTTAAATTAACTCCTAAGCATTACATGGTGTGACTGTGGAAACTCCAGTTAAGACAGGATCTTATCAGAGGTGGACAACATGAAGATTTCCTTTTCCGTTTTCAATAAACTTTGGAACAACCTTCCCGTATCTCCCCTAGAGTTCCGTGCCCCTCTGAACTGTCTGTCACTGCAATGTAGTTTATCAACAGAGTTTGCGTGTTTTCAATTTAAGCTAAAGATAATTTAAGAGCATTTATTTCCCCTTTTCACTTTAAAAGATTATGATTATTACTATGATTGTTACAAGTCTTCTTATTTTACACTTGAGGGATAAAGGCAAATGATTTGTGAGTCTTCTAGTTGCTGGACCGAGTTTTCTGCTGGATCTGGTGGGGAGGCGGCCAGTAAAGTCCCTCTCCTGCTGCCCCCGCCGACTTTGACTCTGAGTCAGCGTTTGGTCCTGTTCAGAGGACTCTCGCCACGACGTTTCTGTTCGACACTTGGTTGGAGACCAGTTGACCATAGAGCATTTGCAGAGCCTTGTCGTTTGATTTCTTGTGACTATTCTAAGAATGAATGCAATCAGATTTTAAAAGTAACTAAATATACTTCAGCACTTTTTTGCTTTAAACTAGACCATCTTAGACTTGTTTATACCTTTCAGATTTGATTGTTTTACTCCAAATGACTGCACTATATGTATGCATAAGACCACTTTTGAGCGCTGCGTCCCCCTTCTGAGTAGTCCTTTGACGACGTGTTGTGTTTTCTGATGTTGACTTGATTTCCATTTAATAGCACCTCTTCCTTCCATGTCTTGATGTTATGCAGGAAGTACAGACGTACTTTAAATTTTTGTTATGAAATTAAAAAAAAAAGATGGGTTTTGTAAAAATAAAAAAAAAATATTTTTAGCAGAACAGGACTTACAGGGTCATTGTCCCCACAATGTGCCAGTCGACTATTTGCACTTACCTTGTCCTATATATCCGTACGGAGGTGTGCAATTCCTCGCGTCAGTAGCCTTGTGACACCGAACCTGGATGGATTCTCGAGGGGCCCTCACGGCCCATCCGTAACGTTGCGAAGGGAGACTACAGGGATCTCACGACAAATATTCTGATACAATACTCAACCTCGGTATATATATATATGTATAAATATATGTATATCCCAGCAGCACTTTATACTGTTCACTGTACAAAAGCTTACAGTTTTCCACAAGGACTTTAATCACGAGCTGGGAAAAAGATGATGTAATTACTTCGGGGCTCCGCGGAACCTGCTGTGTACAGCGCCCCCTTTCTGTTGTGCCCTTGGTTGCAGCTGCCATGCCCAGAATGCGTTTGGAGAGCCGAAGCAAGGTGCTCGCAGCCACCTGAGGCCGTCCGCGCGGCCCAGGGCCGCAGCCGCCCGTAGGGCCGCCACCGTTCATAACAGCACATGCATTTCCCCGCCGCGTCGTGTCTGCAGCCTCTTTGCCAATATAGTAATGCTTTTAGTAGAGTACTAGATAGTATCAGTTTTGGATTCTTATTGTTATCACCTATGTACAATGGAAAGGGATTTTAAGCACAAACCTGCTGCTCATGTAACGTTGGTACATAATATCAAATCAAAAGTTATCTGTGACTATTATATAGGGATCACAAAAGTGTCACATATTAGAATGCTGACCTTTCATATGGAATTATTGTGAGTCATCAGAGTTTATTATAACTTATTGTTCATATTCATTTCTAAGTTAATTTAAGTAATCATTTATTAAGACAGAATTTTGTATAAACTATTTATTGTGCTCTCTGTGGAACTGAAGTTTGATTTATTTTTGTACTACACGGCATGGGTTTGTTGACACTTTAATTTTGCTATAAATGTGTGGAATCACAAGTTGCTGTGATACTTCATTTTTAAATTGTGAACTTTGTACAAATTTTGTCATGCTGGATGTTAACACATCTTACTCTAAATAAAAAAGGTGTTGCCACATTTGTAGCACGAAGGATCTCTAGCCCGGGTCTGCGTCATCACTCGTCTGGGAAACAGTGTCTGGGCCCTCGGGATGCTCTCGAGCCTTCACTCCAACTTAGTGGCTTTTAGCATTTTTACCAGTTTGGTTCTCAACTCTGAGGCATACAGGAGTCAGTGACTTCTCAAAAACTATGTGAGTGTCTCGGCACCCCCAGCGGGCCTGCCTTTTCCCGTTCGCTATCGCTCCTGCACCTCACTGGGCCAGGTCTTCTGAGAGGAGGACACGGCGCCTCCTGGCACAGACTCCTCTGGCAGGGAGTTCTCAGCCAGCAGGTGCAGCCGCCACACCTGGGGCATCGCCACTGTGCATGTGGCGACATCTCAGCACACCCAGCGTGGTGGGGAGTCATGTCCTTTGTAGAGTCTTTCTTCTCCTGGAATCCAATCGAGGAGCCGCACTGCTCCCAGTTGCTCCATCCCTGTCCCTGTCCCTGTCCCGGTCACCTCCTTATTACTGAGCAGTTTCTTGACCTGTCTCCCAGAACACAGACAGTTTTCAACTGTCCAGGGCCGTTGTTTTACAAAATGTCCCAAACTGGCGTGTGTGACTGCCACCTCCTGACTGATTTGGGTTAACTAAGAGAAGTGTCCTTCTCCAGCTTCACATCCGGGGCAGAAGGACAGACGGCCCATTGTTGGTTACCTGGGTGTTGAAAAATGATGCTTTGTGACTTCCATGCTATTGGTAAGGACCCCAGCAGCAAGTCACCCGTAAAACTTAAGTTATCCTTCAAATATAATCTAACAATGAATTACCCACTTTCACGTCAACTGTATCAGTAAATGTCACTGTTTAAAATTCCAAAAATACCCTCCTATCATAGACACAATCACTTCAAATATAAAATTTGAGGAAGAGACTCTGATAACCTGTGAAAATTCATAATTTATTCCCAGTGGAGCCTGTAACCGCTTCAAGATTCAAGGTCCCCTGAGCACTTCCTACAAACTGGTATGTTCTGACCGCTCATTTGCTGCATCACTGCTTCCTGGAAGCGCTGGTGATTGCAGTGACTCCCCCTCCAGATTCCACGGAGTCCTCAGAGCTGACAGAAGAGGGGCCTCGCGCCTGGGATCCCTGCGTCTCTGTCTTTAGCCCGCCGGGTGAAAGGAGCTCTCTCAAAGGTGTCTTTAGGAACAAGGCAAGTTGCTGACGTGGTGACTCAGGCCTGTCTGTCAGGATTATTAAAAGCTATTTTTCCATAGGAACGGTGTGCCTGAGAATTGGTGTAAATGTTTTAGAAAGCAACTTAACGATATTTTCAAAAATCTTAGAAAATTTATATTTTGACTCAGTCTATACTAAAAATACCAAAAACAATTGCAAATGTTCCAAACTCAATAAAATCAACCGTAAAGAAGTCCTATTACAGAGGAATGATCAAGCAGTTCATGATCCATGAACTCTCTGGAGTACCAGAGAGCTCTTAAAATAATGGCAATGAAAACCTTCTACTAAGGGGATTATGGTAAAGTAGGTGAAAAGTACAGAAGAAGATTACAAACGCAGGAAGAGGCCAGTTATCCGCGAAAAGAGTTGGGCTCTGGCAGACATTTGGAGAGATTTATTCTGAGCCAAATCTGAGTGACCATGGCCTGACGTGGCCTCTGTAGGTCCTGAGAACATGTGCCAGGGTGACCGGGGCACAGACTGATTTTCTACATTTTAGGGAGACCTGAGACATTAATCAGCTCACTGGGGTTACACACTGGCTCAGTACAGAGAGGCGGAAGGGCAGGTGGCTTCCAGGGCACACGTAGATTTAAACATTTTCCAATTGGTTGAAAGCATTATTGTCAATTGTAGGGAGTGTCCGGTTTGCAAAAGGGGTTGTGGAGACCACGGTTCTTATTGTGCAGATGAAGCTTCCATGTAGCAGGCTTCAGAGGCAATAGATGGTAATTTTGGTTGTTGTTGTTTTCAATTTGAGATGGAGTCCCACTGTCGCCTGGCAACACAATCTCGGCTCACTGCAACCTCTGCCTCCCGGGTTCAACGGATTCTCCTGCCTCAGCCTCCTGAGTAAGTGAGACTACAGGTGTACACCATCACAGCCAGCTGATTTTTGTGTTTTTGGTAGAGTCAGGGATTCACTACGCAGGCCAGGCTGGTCTCGAATGTCTAATCTCAGGTAATCCACACACCTCAGTCTCCCAAAGTGCTGGGATTACAGGCGTGAGCCACCGCGCCCAGCCAGTGGTCATTTTTTTTTTTTTTTTTTTTTTTAATCAGACTTAGAGTCTGTGTTGATGGGAATGCTGGTGGACGGCTTTTCCTGAATTCCAAGAGGGAGCAGGGCTTGGTGAGGCACGTCCCGCCCCTCCCTGTCATGCCCTGAACCAGTCCTTCACGTTCGATCTGGAGTGCCTTGACAGACGAGGGAGGCCCTTCGGGGTTAGGGCCGGGGGCTCTTTGAAGTTTATTTTTGGTTGACAATGTTTAGATCACCCTGAGGGTGGGCTGGTTTGTGGCTGGGTCTGGCAGGAGCACACTTCCCAGGGCACTGGCCCGAGGAAGTCAAGGAGAAGGTAGAGGAGGGGTCAGGGAAGCGCGGGTCAGAAAATCAACGTCTCTGTGTTTAGGAGCAAGAGTGGGAAATGGCCACAGGGCAAAGAGCACACAGGAAAAGGCACTGTGTCTTCTGCCGGGATCCCTGGGGTCCTTTGTCTGAGACCAGCCAGCCGCACATACTTTGCCTTATGAGGCTGAAAGAGAAGGCCTGACTACATTTTTATCACCATGGGCAAACAAATCAATTTTTTTTTAAAGCAAAAGGCCCGAGCACATGAGGATGATTCTGGAGGTTTGGGAGGAAACGGCTTGGGACTGGCACTCCCTGGGTTCACAGGACGCCCTTAGAACAGCTTCTCCACTCTTCGGGGGCCCCATAGCTGCATCCCAGGGTTCCCTGGGCACGGAAACAGAAACAGTCCAGGGTCCAGGGCACAGCAGGAGGAGGGAGAGACGCAATGAGAGGGAAACGGTAATGGGGAGGCCGCCTGGCCCCTCCATCCATCGTTATCCGTCAGAGACGCAGCGGAATCCCAAGCCTGGTCCCCAGCGCCCCCAGATGCCCTTATCACTGGGAGGGTGAGCTGGCATCGTCTCTGTGCCCTCCTGTCAGGAAGGAGCTGCTCCACTTCCATACGCAGTCATTTCTGGCCCTTAGCACAGCTGCATGCGGCTCCTCTGAGCTCACCAAACGCCCTCTTTTCTGTGCAGTTAATTTGAGGCCTTTTTTGCTCAAGAAAGACATGAGCCATTATGACTGACAGCAAGAACTCTCTAGCCAATGTCACAAGGATTGACAGTGTGTCATCACAACCATAAACCAAAAATAAAACTCGTAGCCCCCCAAACAGCTGAATGAATGGACCCCTCCGCTCTGCCAAGGGCATGCCACAGGAAAGCCGAAGCACTGGTTCAGGCCACGGGAGGAGGTCGGGGTTGGACATCCTCGTTCCACCCTCCAGTCTTCGGAACTCAGGCACAGCTGACCAGCTAACGTTGAAACGGAAGCCTGACGCCTGGCAGAGCAGACTCTTTAAGTCTGATAAGAAGCGTTTAGAATCTATTCTCTCTGAAGCCGGCTACACGATGGCTTCATGTGCGTGTTAAGAATCTCAGTCTCCACAACCCCTGATCTTAACCCGGACACTCCCTTCTGTGGATTCAGGTCCTCAGATAAACTCTTTCAACCAATTGTCAACCCAAGAAAGCTTCTAATCCACCTGTGACCTCAAGTGCCCCCAGCACTTGGAGTGGTTCCACTGTTCGGGACCGAGCTAAGCTAACGTACATCTCACATGCATTGATTAAGGTCTCATATCTCCTTAAAATGCATAAAACCAGGCTGTCACCCAACCACCATGGGCACATGTTGTCAGGACCTCCTGAGGCTGCCACAGGCACATCCTTAACCTGTCCACAAAAAGAGCCCAACTCTATGAATCTTTGAAGAGGTTTACTCTGAGCCAAATAGGAGTGGCCGTGGCGTGACGCAGCCCTCAGGGGGGTCTTGAGAATGCGGGGTTTTAACTTTTTAACCAGAACATGGTTTTAACTTTTTTTTTTTTTTTTTTTTTTTGAGATGGAATTTTGCTCTTGTTGCCCAAGGGGGCGTGCAATGACACCATCACAGCTCACGCAATCTCCGCCTCCCAGAGTCAAGCGATTCTCCTGCCTCAGCCTCCCAAGTAGCTGGAATTACAGGTACACGCCACCGCGCCCAGCTAATATTTGTATTTTTAGTAGAGACAGGGTTTCTCTATATTGGTCAGCCTGGTCTTGAACTCCCAACCTCAGGTGATTTGCCTGCCTCAGCCTCCCAAAGTCTCAGGTTTACAGGCGTGAGCCACCTTGCCCGGCCGGGCATCCTGGTTTTATACGTTTTAGGGAGGCATGAGACATCAATCAAATACATTTAAGAAACACATTGGTTTCATGCAGAAAGGTGGGAAAACTCAAAGCAGGAGCTGCCAGGCTCTCGGGGAATTGAAACATTTTCTGGTTAACAATTGGCTGAGTTTGTCTAAAGACCTGGGATTGATGGAAAGGGGATGTTCAAGTTAAGGTAAAGATTGTGGAAACCGAAGTTCTTTTGAAGTTCTATAGTTGCTGTCCTTAGAGACAATAGATGACAAATGTTTCCTATTTAGATTTTCTTTTTTCTTTTTTCTTTTTCTTTTGGGACAGAGTCTTGCACTCTCCCCCGGGCTGGAGTACAATGGCGCGATCTCGGCTCACTGCAACCTCCACCTCCTGGGTTCATGCGATTCTCCAGCCTCAGTCTCCCGAGTAGCTGGGAATACAGGTGCGCGCCACCACACCCAGCTAATTTTTCACTATGTTGGCCGGACTGGTCTTGAATGCCCGACCTTGTGACCCACCCACCTCAGCCTCCCAAAGTGCTGGGATCACAGGCGTGAGTCACTGCCCCTGGCCTTCTTCTTACAGATTTTAGTTAATCTCTTTAGGAT